TCTATCTATCTATCTATCTATCTATCTATCTATCTATCTATCTATCTCTATTATCTATCTATCCATCCATCCATCCATCTAATTTATCTACCGTGTTTCTCATATAATAAGGCCAGGTCTTATTTTTTTTTTGAGCCCCCCAAAAATGCCTAGGCCGTCTTTTCGGGGGTGACTTAATCCCCCCCCCCGCTTGCATCTTCGGGCGGGCGGGCAGCAATGGCTTGGATGTTGACCTCGGCATTGGTGGGGCACTTCATATCGGGGTCAACGCAGGCAGCACCATATCCGGGTGTGCAAGAAAAGTACTTCCTAACGGCAACCCCCACCATTTTGCATGTTTTAATATAGGTCTTAATTTGGGGGGAGGGGCTTAATTTCATTTCATGCCTATAAAACATGCTGGGACTTCCTATTGGGGGAGGCCGCATTGTTGGAGAAACAGGGTATCATCTATTTATCTAATCTAATCTATCATCTATCTAATCTAATCTATCTATCTCTCTATCTCAATATAAATAATAATCTTAACAGCTGCAGTGATGGTGGCAAGAAAGATAATAAAAATGGGACGAAATGCACTTTAAAAGCTGCCTGGCTTTCAAATTTCAGGCTCAGCCGATACGTGGAGGAAGTGACACCTTCGCTGCTTTTTCAAGTGAAAGATCTATCCCGTCCCGTCTATCTCTTGCTGATCCAAGAGTAAACAAGGGCATTTATTTTTAATCCCCGTAGGTATTCAACAATTTCACGAGTTGTAACCCAGAGCGACCTCTGTGGACAACACAGCCTTATTGGAGGGAAGGCAGGGGAAGGTACGGCTATAAACAGCACACCTTGGCCAAGAGCCAGGTATCGCAGCAAAATAAATAAATAAAAAAACCCTCTCTTACATATTTATGTGCTATGGGCACGCTAAAAAGGAAGAGACCAGATAGGGCCCAGAAAGGTGGAAAAACATCAAAAATACCCAAAGGGGAAGGTGTTGTTTGCGCTAAGATCTTCACAGACTTGAACCCAGCCATATCTAACAAAATGAAATTCAATGTAGAGAAAAATAAAGTCTTCCACTTAGCAAGAAAAGCCAAAAGGACACATATAGACTGGGTGAAACCAGGCTCAATAGCAGTGACTGTGAGAGGGATCTTGGAGTCTTAGTGGACAACCGGCTAAATAGGAGCCAGCAGTCTGCAGCAGCAGCCAAAAAAGCCAACGCAATCCTAAATTGCATTAACAGAGGGATACAATCAAGATCAAGTGAGGTACTAATACCACTCTATAAAGCCTTAGTAAGACCACACCTAGAGTACTGCAGATAGTTTTGGTCACCACACTATAAAAAAAGATGTCGAGACTCTGCAAATGCGCAGAGAAGAGCAATCAGGATGATTAGGGGACCGGAGGATAAAACATACAACGAACGGTTGCAGGAACTAGGCTTGGCTAGTCTAGTGAAGAGAAAGACCAGGGGAGACACGATAGCGGTCTTCCAATATTTGAGGGGCTGCCACAGGGAGGAAGGGGTCAAGCTATTCTCCAAGGCACCTGAAGGCCAGACAAGGCATAATGGATGGAAACTGAACAAGGAGAAATTCAACCTGGAAATAAGGAGAAACTTTCTGACAGGGAGAAAAATCAACCCATGGAACAGAAGTTGCCTTTGGAAGTTGTGAGAGCATCTTCACTTGAGACTTTCAAAGAGAGATTGGACTGCCATTTGTCAGAAATGGTGTAGGGCCTCCTGCTTGAGCAGGGGGTTGGACTAGATGACCTACAAGGTCCCTTCCAACTGTTAAAAGTACGGTAAAAGCACGGAGGGCTTATGACAGCTATTGCGTGAAATCTCTTGGAAAATCACTTTCTGGAAAAGGAAATGAAGAAACCACCAACGCACCTGGTCCTGTGTTTACAGGTGATCGCACTGCAGACCTGAATATGTCTGAACAAGCTCAGTTCAGCGGAAAGAAAAACTTTGCAACCGTTTTCCGAAGTAGAGTTGCTTTGAAACGGCTCCTAGGCTCTCCAGTGGGCCCCATGTCAACCTCCTCAGGAGGCCTGAGAGCCTTTCTTGGAGATACAGGCCATGCTTGACTTACAACCGTTCGTTGAGTGACAGTTGAGAAATACAACAGTCACTGGGAAAAGGAGCGACTTACGGCTCCTATCTCACACTTACGACCTTTGCAGCATTCCCCCGGGATCGTGTGATCAAAATTCAGAGGCTTGGCAACTGGCATGTACTTAGGACGGTTGCGGTGTCCCGGTGTTACGGGACAAGCGAAGTCAGAAGGTCGCAAAACGAGAGGCCAGAATTCACTCGGCAACTGTGGTACTAACGACGGCGGCGATTGGTTTAACCAAACGGGAGGCAACAAAGAAGGGGTAAAACTCACTTAACAACAGAAAATTGGGGGTTCCGTTATGGTCGTAAGTGGAGGAGTACTTTGCTGTGACTCTCTGGTGGCCATGCTGTTCCCTCCTTCCTTTCTGCTGGCCTCCTTGGGGGCGTTCGAGGCGCCGGCCCCGCAGGGTCACCCCGTTGACTGTTGCACCGGAGAGGCTCAAAGGGGTGAGCCTGCGGAGCCGGTGTGTTGAACGCAGCGGCAGCACGTTGCGAAACTAGAGCCAAGCTGCCTGCCCTGGGCTTCCTCAACCCTGCCCTGCTCCAAGAAGGAGGGAACAGCATTGCCCTCTACAACGTGAGTGCCCCACGGGGGGGCAGCTTGGGAGGCTGATCCCCGGCGGGAGGGGCAGCCTGTGAACTTGCTGTCAGGTACGGCAACTACAAAGAGGAGCGGGCCTGGCTGAGCGGGACAATGGATATTGGCATGTGGTCAAAGACACCCCCCCCCCGCTTCTCTGCCTCCCCCTACGTGAACCACGGATACCACTGACTGTTGCACTGGAGCGGTGCCACATTCGAGGCACCGGCTACGGAGCGGTGCAACAGTCAATGGGGTGACCCTGTGGGGCCGGCGCCTCAAACACCCCCCTGCTGCCTCTTAGCGCCCCCCTAAGGCATCTCACTGCCCCCCCAGGGGGCGGTACTGCCCACTTTGGGAACCACTGGACTAGATGACCTACAAGGTCCCTTCCAACTCGGATTCTCTGTAATCTGGCAGCCCCTCAAATATTTGAAGTCTGCTATCATGTCACCCCTAATCCTTCTTTTCATTAAACTAGACATATCCAGTTCCTGCAACCGTTCTTCGTAGGTTTTAGCCTCCAGTTCCCTAATCATCTTTGTTGCTCTTCTCTGCACTCTTTCCAGACTGCAGGTCACCCTCAATTTACAACAGTTCATTCAGTGACCATTCATTTACAGAAAAATGTGACTTACGATCCTTTTTTCCCAATTATGACCTTTGCAGCATCCCCACAGTTACGTGATCAAAACTCAAGAGGGTTGGCAACTGGTTCGTACTTATGACTGTTGCAGTGTCCCGCAATGTCATTGTATTTGTCAACCTTCTGAGAAACCAAGCCAACGAGGAAGCCAGATTCACTTAATAACAAGGTTACTAACTTATCCACCGCAGTGATTCACTTAACAACTGTGGCCAGAAATGTCACAAAATGGGGCAATACTCAACAAATCCTCACTTTAACCATGCAAATTTGGGATTCAACTGTGGTTGTATGTTGAGGACTACCCGTACAATAAGCCTACAATGTTAGGACGTTCTGATGGTCTCTCACCAGGCCAGAACATTTGTTTCTCCTGAAATTTCACGAGTCCAAGTATCTGTGACACTTATTTACATCCGGTTGTGAGAGGGGCTCTCTCACTGATATCTTACCTCAATGAAAGTATTCAGCGTGGCATTAGTTGGGTTGTGGGTTATCAGGAACCTCATATTCTTGTAGCACACTTCCACAGGGGCAGGCCTGTTCATGCGTGCCATGGTGGAGACAAACAGAGGGGGGAGGGGCTCTCGACAAAAAAAAAAAAAAAAAAAAAAGAGTTGCAAAGCCCAAAACAGAACCAAGTGACGCGAGCCTGACCAGACTGACTCTCTTCCCCCTCAAATCAACACAAACGTTGTGCAAATAGGATAACGTCGGATTCTCTAAATCCTCGACTTTTAAAAAAAGGGGACCCTGTGCTTGAGGCTGAGTAATACTTTCGTTTGTTTTTTTTCCTCCTTTTCTTTAAAAAAAAAAATCCTTAGTGTGCAATTTTAAGTAGTCGTCCTTCAGTGCCACTCCGCTTCCTTCCCCCTTCTTAGTTCTCGTCTTCTCTTCCTCCTCCTCTTCACAAAGGCATCTGCATTCAGCGAACGCGCTGGTGTTCTCTCTTGAGCTTTCACGTTACCCCATCTGGATATGTGAAATATTTGGGGGCAGTGAGAGGAGCCCGGGGCAGCTCAGGATGGAAGAACTGCCGGTAGAAACTTTCCGCGGACCTCAACAGCCATCCACGGGGTCTCTGAATGGTGAAGCCCGAGGGGCTCTAAAAGAGGCTCGGTTCGGGCAGGACCCTGTCCTTGTTCAACGAGAGGGATGCTGTGCGTGGCAGTGCTCAAAAGTGCGCCCAGCCCCCTCCATAAATCCAAAGGGAATCAGCATGCAGGACGATCTGGAAGAAGAAAAGAGACATTTTCGATCAGCACCGCGATTTCCAACCTCTTCCCAAGGTTTCTAGCTTGCAAAATGTAGCAGAAGGGCCGAAGCAGGCAATTTGTGCACATTTAGGATCTGTGGGTCAAAAAAATTCAGAACACAGCAGTAGCACTGAAGACTTATTCTATCGCTTTACAGCCCCCTCTCTAAGCGGTTTACAGAGTCAGCACGTTGCCCCCCAGCGGTTTGGGGTCCTCATTTTACCCAACTCGGAAGGATGGTGAGATTCGAACTGCCAAATTGTAGGCAGCTGGCAGTCAGCATTATCCGCATGAACAGAGTTGGAAGGTACTTGGTAGGTCATCTAGTCCAACCCCCCACCCAAGCAGGAGACCCTACCGCATTTCTGACAAATGGCAGTCCAATCTCTTCTTGAAAGCTACCAGTGATGAAGCTCCCACAACTTCTGAAGGCAACTTCTGTTCCACTGTTGTTTGTTCTCACTATCAGAAAATTCCTCCTTATTTCTAGGTTGAATCTCTCCTTGATCACTTTCCATCCATTATTCCTTGTCTGGCCTACAGGTGCTTTGGAAAATAACTTGACCCCTTCCTCTCTGTGGCAGCCCCTCTGATACTAGAAGATGCTATCATGTCTCCCCTGGTCCTTCTCTTCACTAGACTAGCCAGGCCCAGTTCCCGCAACCGTTCATCGTATGTTTTAGTCTCTAGTTTCCTCATCATCCTGGTTGCTCTTCTCTGCACTTTATTTCTAGAGTCTCCACATCTTTTTTATAGTGTGGTGACCAAAACTGGATGCAGTACTCTTAGGTGTGCAGAAGTAGCCTGCAGTACTGCACTCTAACCACTGAGCCACTGTGGCTTAAAAACCTCACTTGACTCTGCTGTGGTGTCGACTCCATCCGAACAAGAGCGAAAACGACTCTTCTTCACATATTCATTTGCACTGATGATGTTACCTAACTGGGTCATGAAATGTCTGCAAGAAAACCAAACAAGCTCAAGAGAAATCTCAAGGATCTCTGCAAACCCCACTCTCCCTTTCTAGCGCTGATGTTACCTAGTTTGGTTGTGAAATATCCAATCTAGAGCTAAGGGGAAATTTCCTGACAGTTGAGAACAATTCATCAGCGGAACAGCTTGGGTTGTTCCATCACTGGAAGTTTTTAAAGAATAGACTGGACAGCCATTTCTCCAGAATGGGGTTGGACTAGAAGACTTCCAAGGTCCCTTCCAACTCTATGACGTTCTGTTATGACAGCTGCCTTTATCTTAAAAACAATGTTCGGAGACCCTGATAATAGTTGTGTTCCTGCAACAGGCTTGACCGTATATTAGAGCTATATACATTTGCACTGATGATGTTACCTAGTCGGGCCATGAAACGTCCACATGAAAACCACCAAGCTCCGAGAGCACCAAGGATGTCAGTTATCATCTTCCCCATCCTCCTCTTCCTCCTTCTCCTCCATTCCAACACACCCCACCCCCTTCTAGCACTGATGATGTAACCTAGATGGGTAATGAAAAAGAAACCAAGAGAGCACCAAGAACCCCACAGTTCGAGCCGGAGCTACAAATATTCTCTTCTATCAGTACATAGGCATTTTATTTAAAGGAAAAAAAAAAAAATACAGTCCAATTATGTGTGGTGCCGTGTACAAGCAACACCAAACAATTACAAAAATGAAACACAAGTAGAACCAAGTTCATTTTTGAAGGGTCTGATGGCTCCTCTCCAGAAATTGCGGATGCTCCATCCATGAAGATTTTTAAGGAAATATTGGACAACCACCTGTATGAAATGGTACAGGGCCGTGATGGCAAACCTATGGCGTGTGTGCCACAGGTGGCATGCAGAGCCATTTGTGCCGTTACGCGAGCTGCAGGCAAACTTACCTCACTGCGCATGCACGCGTCTCATAGCTGATTTTCAGCTAGTTTGAGGCCTTTTTCGGCCTCCCAGAGGCTTTTACGAAGGCTTCTGCAGGCTTTCCAGGCCGAAAACCAGGCTCGTTTCGTCACTTCCTGTTTTTTTCCAGAAATAACGGAAGTGATGAAATGGGCATAGTTTTTGGCCTGAAAAGCCTGCAGAAGCCTTCCTAAAGCCTCTGGGAGGCCGAAAAAGGCCTCAAAGCGGCTGAAAATCAGCTGTGCAGTGCAGTGCAGGTAAGGGGACGGGTGAGTGGGAATTGCATGCACATGTTTAGGGGGTGCGAGCATTGCCTTCTGGGTGCTGGCCCATGAGTGTGCAAACGCACGCATAATTTTTGGCACAGGAGCCCAAAAAGGTTAGCCACCACTGGTATAGGGTTTCCAGCTTGAGTAGGGGGTTGGACTAGAAGGCCTCTAAGGTCCCTTTCGTTGTATTATTCCTGTTCTCCTCCACCCTATTTGGAGGTGAGAAAAGCCAATTTCAACTGGATTCTCAAATCTGCAAGCAAAATCCGGCTTTAGGTAAGCCACAAATGTGCTTGCGCCTCTCAAAATTCTGTGCAGCCATGCAAAGATATGTGATAGGAAAAATAAACATGGCATGGGAACTTGAGATGATATGAAAGCTTCGCTGATGGCGCCTGCGTGTGTACGTATTAACCTCTGCCCACACTAAGCCTTCTGCAACCTGTTGGAGATACTCTGTGGAGTTAAATTTCCACAATTCAGAGCCAACACTAGTGGGCACCAGACTAAAAGATTGGAGCTAAGCAGGACTGAATTGCTTAACCCTTCTCTTTAGGCAAGAACTGTGGCAACTTTAAGACCTGTGGACTTCAACTCCCAGAATTCCCCAGCCAGTATGGGGAATTCTGGGACTTGGAAGTCCAAAATCCTACTGAATCTATGTTAGAAAGGTAATCTAGAAAAAAATATCCCACAGCTTTGGGGAACACCAACAGCAGAAGGAACAGAAGCAGATATGCAGATTATTAAGAAATAGAACGTAATATATGGACCACAGGGTTGAACTGGGGAGTTTGGGGTGATTTCGGAGTCTGTTTTTTTTTACTTGCAGTGCAACTGATGAAGTTACCTAGTTGGGTAATGAAATGTCTGCAGGCAAACGACCAAGCATGGCGGGCTGGGGAATACTGGTTGTTGAAGCCCACAGATCTTAAAAGTTGCCAAGGCTGGAAATGCATGCCTTAAGGAGAGGGAACTGTCTAAAACCATTGGCATGTGTAATTTTTGTTTGATGAACAAATAATAAAAAAAAAAATTAAATTGTGGTTGTTAAATCGTGGACAACCTGTGTACATTTTTCAGCTATGTGCCTAGCCAGCAAGGAGACATTACAGAGGTGGACAAATCTTACTCTACAGACACAAAAGAAATTTCCAACGCTACTGATACACCCTGAGCACATAATTTAATCCTGGGTTATAAATCTCTTCTCACCTTCTGAACCCAAGGCATGAGGCTGGCCAAATGGGAATTAAGCACGAACTCTGTAATATGCTTAACAGCATCCTAAGGAAGGATTATTACGGGAATTCAAGGATTTATCAACGCTACTTTGAACTTTTGGTTGTTTGGCCTAAACTCCGTGGACTAAACTTGGTGGAATCCCAAATTTAGCTGCAACCGCCTTCCTTCCCTCCCTCCCTGTCTCTGTTCCTCTCTCTCTTCTCTCATGTTTCCTTCCTTCCTCTCTCCCTGTTCCTTCTCTCTCTCCTCATGTCTCCTCCCTCCCTCCATCTCTCCCTTCCTTCCTTCCCTTCTCCCTCTGTTCCTTCTCTCTCCTGTCCTCATGTCTCCTTCCTTCCTTCCTTCCTTCCTTCCTTCCTTCCTTCCTTCCTTCC